TTTGTAGTAGTTTATATGTATTTTGGGTGTTAACTCCTTATCAGATATATGGTTTGTAAATATTTTCTTATTCTGTAGGTTGCCTTTTTACTTCCTCGATTATTTGCTTTGTTGCTCAGAAGCTTTTAAGTTCGGTGTAGTCCCGGTTGTTTATTTTTGCTTTAACATTATATTTTAGAGATTATTCTGTGTCAGCCCCTATAAAGCCACCTAACTCTGTTTAACAGCTACATAATTTTTCATTAATGCATGTACCATAGATTAATTTACCAGTTTTCTATCAATGCATACTTAGGGTTTTAAATTTTTTAAGAAATTTTGCTGTTTTATATAATGCTTCAATTATTATTTTTATACATATATCATTTAGCACGTACATAAATGTATCTGTAAGATACATTTCTACCCATTTAACTGAAATTCTGAGTCCAAGGGTTACGTGCGTGCATTTCTAATTTTGATAGATGTTACTAAATGCCCTCCATTAAAGGTTTTACTAATTTATATATATTCCCACCAACAATGGAGTAGTTGCCCTTTAAATGTTGTGGTACTATTTAGCTTTTCACATTTAAACACATTCTCTCCCTGATCCAGTTGTAATTAACCCAAAGACAGGAACCATATCGTGTACATTTCAGCATGTGCACAATACCTAGCACCATCAGTTCACTAAACTGGTGCTCAGCAGATATTTGTTCAACCTAACTTCATTCTGTGTTCGTGGAGTTTTCTTATGGCTCTGATGAATGCCGTCGTGAGCGTTGTCCACTCTGCGTGTGTGCTGTTCCCAGGAGAGGAGGTGACCTGTGCGTGACATTCTTAGGAGGGATGCGTCCATTGCTCTTGCTCTTCCGGGATTCTCTAATAGCATTGTCTCAGAAGGACCAGTCGGTCCTTGGATCTGTTAACAGGTTTGGTTAATTTGAATAATTTGGTGTAAGGACTGCGGCTGACACCAAATATGTCCTAAAATTTAGTATGTAACAAATTTTTATACCATTTTCTATAAACTATCTAATCAAAAAAGCTCTGCTCCATGAGTTTTACTCAACCCAGCCTTTACATATATATCAGTTGGAATAATATTACCATGTACCCACCACTAAAATTTAACATTTGTTCATTTTGTTTATATATACATATATATATGTGTGTATGTTTATGTATATACTTGCTGAATTATTTGCAAGTAAGTTGCTGATATTCCATCGAGTAGTAAATAAAGCTAAAAATTATTTTTGTAAATATCACCTTCTGTAAACAAATCTATTAAATATTTCACAGCTTTTTTTTTTAAACAAATTATATCCCTTTCTCCAAAAGGATAAGAAACTGTCTGATGGCATCTGGCATCTTTCCCTCAAATATAGAAAAGACTTGTATCCGTGGAAGAACAAGAAGGAAAGTTGGGGGCAGGATGGGGGTGAGGCAGCTGACACCAGAATTTCTCTTAGTAAGGGAAGTACCTTCAATGTTTTTGTTTAGGAAAATACCTTGATCAGTTGTTTGGGGATGAAAGGTGAGCCCCTATACAGTTTTACAACAATGTGAGGGTGCTTAAATGCCTGTGAATTATATACTTTAAAATGGTTAATTTCACCTTAGTTTAACAATAACAAAAATGGTGAGACCCTATAAGAATGAGTTGGCAGAAGAAGAGGTGAAAGAGAGATAGCTAGATGAGGATGTGATTAAACCCACTTAACCTGACTCTCAAAGTGCAGGCAAGTTTGACAACTCAGTGGCAATAAAGTGTCCTTTCATTGACTGAAGGGTTCAGCCTTGACTAGTCATCCATTGTGCTTGTAGGGAAATAACTCTTTTTAAAAGACAAAAGATCAAACCTTCAAAGAAGTGGATCTCAGGGGTTGTGACAGCTCTACATTTCCTAACACTTCCCCTTGCAGACATCTTCCCAGGTCCTCTAGAACCAAGCCTGGTAGTTCAGAACCTGGGCTCCCACAACTTGCCTTATATAAACCTGAGGTGTTTTGTGTTTGGATTAGAACCCCTTAACTCCACTTCTACTCGGACCGTGATAGTAGGAATCAAAGGAAGTGGGGTCCCTAGGGAAGGGCACTCCACAGGGAAAGAGTGAAGACCATTTTTAGAGTTCCCTAGTGCTTTTAACTTGGTTCTGTGTTCAAATCTAAGAGAGAGCTTGGTATTCTACATGAATGGAAGGTCATCAGTCTTGTAAAGTGAATGACAATGATGAGCAAGCCCTTGCACATATGGGCCAGGCACTATGCCAAGCGCATTATCCCATGTGATCTGGGGTAGGTACAGTTATAGTCCCACATTCAATAGGGTAGAAATTAAAGTTTAGAGAGATTATGAAGTTAAGTAACTTGCCCAGGTTCACTCATGCAGAATGTAAACTAAAGTTTGACTATAGAGCCAGTGTGCTTAACTATCATGCTAATAATTAAGTATAACCAACTGCTGGAGTTTTTCCCACAGAAAGGTTCTGCTCATAGTAGATACATGGTCAATTCTGACTGTGTTAAAGGCTGCTTTATTCATTTTAAATGTTGCATTTAAGTCTTAGGTCTGTTCTGCACTCCAGTCAGAGAGCATTTGGGCCCATGGTGCATCCTCTGAGTCACGGTCTGTTGCCACGGCATTGCTGTGAAGTATTTCAGAGGAAATTCTAGGGAAAGGAAAGGTAGATGGGCTTTTACATAGAGGAGGAATGGGTTCCAATATTTGTCAGTCAGACTTCGAGAAATCTTGGATCCCTTGAAAAACAGTCAGAATTCCACTTCTGTGTCCTGTGACTCTCTACAAATACAGTTTTAAAAATCCAAATATAGCTCAGACCATCAACAGTCTAATGCCTTGTTTCCAAAACTGAATTTCTTCTAGATCCTTAAAACTTTAAAACAAATTTGGGAACATTCATAAGATTGCCAACTTTTTATTTTGCAAATTGACTGAGGGCATTAAAAAAAATTGTCACCATTCATCATTGTTCTTTAATATAAAAAAGTAAGGAAGGTCATATTATAATAAAATACAGTTCTTTAAGTTTAATAGATCTAGATTTGTTAAAAGCTTGCTATATATTCATTATTTTTCTCATCAAGGCCCATGAAAATTTTCTCATGGGTCAGTATTTCAAAACTACTGGTCCAAATAACCAAAGTCTGTATTCAAAATTCAGTAAATATTTCTGCGTCTCTAATGCTCACAGACTTCAATTATCTTATATTTGGAAGGAATTACGTATAAAAGGGCATCTTGGTTACAATAATAGATTAATGACGTCATTGGCTTCCTGCCCCCAAATTGCTGACCCTAAACTTTGGAAGGGAAAAATATCTAAATTATTAATTCCTGGCTTACAAATTTACAAAATTTTGCCAAGATTTTGGGACTCAGGGAAGAAAACAGCATTTCTACTGTAAGACTTCTTAGGTTTATATGTTACATTGCAAGTCCATCAATGATGATTATACCATGGTAATATTTACATTTCAAAGGGAAGCAGAATAGTTGGGGGACTCCCCATGTCTCCAGCTAAAGATTTGTCATTCATTTGCATTCAAATAAATTCTGTGCTTTCACTCATCCGGGATAGTTCTCAACTTACTAGCTAACCAGACTAAACAGAGTTGCACTCATGCATTTGAATGTCATTGTAAAAATGGTTTTCCCAGACTTTTTTATCTTTTCAATCAAATCCCCCAAAAGATGTCTAATCACTTTTAGGTTCATTTACTTAAATGTTTCCCAGTGTTCTATAGCAGTACTTCTGTGTATTAAAACAAAAAGAAACTTGCTTTCAGGAAGTCACAGAGCCACACTTTAGCAACTTAGAACTTTATTCTGGTGCGAGAAATTTCTTGAAACTCCATTTGCAACCTCATTTGTGAATGGCTGATTTTGCCTTTCACACGGGTATACGGCCTTGTTCAGTATGTATGATATCTGTCCTTTAGTTGGTAGACCACCCCTGGAGCTTACAGTCCCACAGCTAGGGTGGTAATATCCTGAAGGTCAAGGCTTGGCCATAGTGCCTGCCTTGCGCACACTAGATCATAAGTGGGCGCTTATTGGAAAAATAACATAGCTTGGTGAGTAATAGGAACATGAAAAGTTCTGCTGGACAACTTAATAGGGATGGGGGCTCACTGCCTTCTGGGTGAGCAGGGAAGATTGTGTGGAGGGAGTAACAGCTAAGTAAAATTGCAGGATAACCAAAGTAGAATGGAGAATGGGAGGAAGGCATTTCCACTAGAAGATACTAACAAATGTATAAGAAAATGAAAGGTATATTTTGAAAATGACAGGTAAAAGTTTTACCGGGAGCAAAGATGTACAGGTGGTTTGAGAAATAAAGCTGAAGTGGGTAGGATCCCGTTCGCAGAGAATGCCAAAAGGTAGGCTGAGTTTGGACTTGACATCAAACAAAAGGTAGGGTCATGGTTGAGGGCCTTTGAGCCAGGCATAATCAAAAATGGTGATAGAAAACATTACTTGCCTCTCTATATTGACTATCAACATCATCATGTTCCAAAACCTTTATGAAAAGAAGTACTTTCAGCCTTTATGGGCTGGTCATCTAAAAACCCACACTTAATTTGTTCCAAAGTCCCGGCTCTAGGGAGCTTGAGGAATTGTCCTGGGGTCGAGGAAATCCCCCTGCCCTCAGAGCCTATTAAGACCTCTGGCACCTTAAGGGACTCCCCCCGGAGTTCCTGCCTCCACATTTTTGCACAAGCCATTCATGCTGTATTCTCTTTCCTCTCCAAAGCTCCTCCTCTTCCTCAAAACCTAACCCAACACTCACCTCCACTGGAAGGACTTCTCAGACCATGACTTCATGTAACTGTTTGCTCTGTTATTCAGGAAATCCACCCCAGCATCTTGATGCTATGTTTAATTTTTTTAACTGCAAAATATACGTATTCTTATATATTTACATCTCAACACACAATTATAGCCTTTATGACAGATACTACTCTACCAGCTCCTTTATATCCTCCATCCAGGACCTGCCTTCCATGCCCACCCTGCCGCACCCAACTTCACAGGACAGCACAGTGCACTTGGTGAATGTTGGCAGTTTAAGAGCTTGCCTTAGACGAGGAAGGATTTCTTTCAAGCTGAAGTCCTATGGACTCTGTGGACTGTGGGTTTTCACCTCTCTTTGGCTCCAGCTTCTTGTCACCAGCATGTGTAGAGCTTCTAGAACAGTTCCTACCAAGAGAGAATCACTTCCTGTGCCTCTTTTCCTGTCTCCACTGTGAACAGTACACATTAAACACACACACACACCCCTCGTATTTTTACTTAATTTTTTCATAGCTCATGTTACCCTTCATCTGTTCTCTCATACCTATGACTAACAATGGCAGGGACACCCCACCCACGTACACACCTCATTCCATCCCTCCACATTGTATCTAGTGTTCTCTAGAGCTTGTTTGTCATATAACCTGCTATGGGGAGAGGCCCAGCTGAGGGAGTTTCTGATGCCAGCTGGACAAAGGTATACTTTTATCTCCAGATGCCAGCCTGGTAAAAGTCATAGCCCTGAAGGATTCAGAACTAGCTCTCTTCCTTGGAAATTGCGCCCCCTCCCCCCCAAAAATACGTCTTAGACCACTTGTCCCTGCACACACTGCCTTTCACTGTCACCAACTGCCGCTTCAGACTGAGCTACAGAGTCCTACCTCGTGGATGCAAATCCAAAAAGCTCAGAATCCAGGCTGGGAAGCAAGTCAGGGTGGTTTGATTTGCATGGAGGAGCTCTTGTCGCTGAGTGGAGCCAGCCAAATTCCCTGGGCTCCCCAGCCCTCCGGAAATAAGCCTTACAGGACCTGGGGCCCTGGGCCCAACAGGGTGGGCGTGATTTGAATGTTCACTACCACTGCTGCTGCGCCCGGCCCTGGTCACTGCCATCCGTTTCGCTCCATTTTACTGCCTCAGAATCCCCCAGTGCATGTTAGTGGTTAACACAGCAGCCAGGAGACGCCAGACAGCTCTCGGCACCTGGTTCAAATTTAAGGCTCATTTACACATGATGTCACACACGCATTGTCAGCGCGAGGGAGGTCAGGATGGTTCATTTTGGGAAGGTTCGCATTGTTGAGTCTTTACAACACTCACTGCTATTAATGCCTTAACCATCTGACTTGGATTTCGGTTTTCTGGCATGAGGTAATCCCAGGCACTAGATTTATATGCTGAATGGGAAGCTAGCGGTGGTGGCTAATCACGCTGGTTTGCAGATCTGCACCTCTGGAGCCTTGGGATGGAATTAGAGGGCCACATGGCAAGTAGCAAATCATGGAGGTTTTGAGCAGAAGGGGAATGAGCCAGACCTGCAGGCGGGGGGCCGGGGAGGGGGCTGTTGCCTGAGGTGGGAGGCTTGAATGAAGAAGAGAAACTAAAGTAAATTGGACAAGGTCTGAGCCCAGAGGCCATAGGAACGGCTCTCTTTGGGCCAGTATTTTGGATTGTTACATTACCCATCCTTCTATTCACCATCCACAGAAGTTCCAACCCCCTCTCCCCTCCCCAGGCTCAGTTCAAGTCTCTCCTGTCCCATGGCCCTTCCCTGGCCACCTAGCCCACAGTGATTTTCCTCCTAAGTGCCCAAGTACTTTTGTCAGTTAAATAAAACAGCTAACAATTACTGAGCACTTCATTTGTGCTGCTTGCTCGTGGTACCTTCACATCAATCTGAGTGGAAGATACTATTATTTCCATCGTACAGATGATGAAATAGCGTAAGACAGATTAAACATTGTGTCCAGCGTTGGAGCTGGTAAGAGTCAGGATGGAAGACTTATTCAGATGCCAGGGTTCCGAACCATCGGAGTAGGCTGCATTCTGCGTGGTAGTGCTGTGTTGCCCGTGGTACTTAGCGCGATGCAGTAACGTGGGAGAGACCGTCTGAGCCTCTGGGAAATGCCGTGGAGTGCACAGTGGTTACTGCCTACGGCCTCACATGTGCATGTGTTGTCTCTTGCCTGCCTGAAAGTAATTGCAGGGCAGGGACTATTGCTTCTGCTTTTCTGTACGCATGAACCTCCTAGCCCAGTGCTCCTTGGGGTGCGCTCAGATGGGTGGATGGATACCAGCCCTCCTCCACCCTCACCTAAGATACTTTCCAACCTAAAACACATTCAAAGTTTGGGATCTTTGGATAGTCACCCCTACCACTTGTTATGGTCCTATGACACATGGATAAAAGAATAAAATTGGTTTGCCTATGACATCTCCAGTGAGAGTCGCATTACCTTATAGGAAGCTCAGTGAATGTCCTTTAGTCCTGCTGATTGCCTTGGTTTTGTTTTTGAATTTGAACCAAGGTCTATCGCCCCCAAAATGGGCTTTTCTGTTCTGTGAGTTTGTTTCAGTCTAGCACACATGTATTGCAATGGGGATAACACTGGGTACAGGAGAGCCACTGAAGGGGCACAGACCTGGGCCTGAGGATGCAGGGAAGGGTTCTGGGGGTGGCTACCTGTTGAAGGATGAGTCAGCCAGTGAGAAGGTGTATGAAGGGGACTCCAGGCAGAGGGAGCCACGTGGACAAGGGCCCAAAGGCATGCTGGCGGCGCCCCCGAGCACACCTGGACTCCGGCTGGAAGGGGCTCTGAGGAGGGGGTGGAAACCCAGGTCATACCTGACCCTTCTCTGCTGTCCACTTGAGCAATGAGGGTGACGCTCCTGACCTCAACCCTAGGGAAGGTGTCTCTGAAGACTGTTTTCTTGGGAAATGCCTCCTCAGAATGACCCTACAGACACAGTTGTTTCTTCAGGGTCCCCGAACATACCCAGGATTGATTGGAAAACCAGGCAATTGAGTGCCCCTGTCGTAAATCACCGTGGCCCAGAGCAGGATTTAACGTTCAGGTTGCAGGCCCTCCTGAGTATCGTGTGCTTGCCCCTCTCGCCTCTCCCATCCTGCTCTGACCCTCGGAGGCTGGCCCCACTGGGCTGTGTCAATAGGTTCCCTTGCCCCTAGCGTCCCTTTGGGTTCAGCCAAGGAGAGGCACCAGTGGGAGCTCAGAGAGGGGAGGAAAGTGATGCCAGGGTGTTTATTCTCCCCATTCCCTCCCTGCTGGGCTACTGTTGGCTGCACAGCTCCTGTCAGGTGTCCCTCTCCCTGGAGCCATCCTTGTCAGCACCTGGGTTCTGGTAAGCTACCCCTCCCCTTGACCCCGCAGCCGCAGGGTGGTAACAGCAGCCCCCTTGCCCCCTCTGTTGTTACTAGCCGTGATGGGCTAGTTGTGTCCCCTCAAATTCATACGTTGAAGCCCTGACCCCAGGACTTCAGAATGCAACTGTATTTGGAGATAAGGACTTTTAAAAGTTCAAATGGGCCCACTAGACTGGCCTAACAGTCTGGCTGGTATTCTTCTAAGAAGAGAACACTCGGACACACACAGAGACCCCAGGGACGCACGTGTACGGGGAAAGACCACGCAATGTCACGGTGAGAAAGCGGCCAAGGAGGGAGGCTGTGGAAGAACCCAAACCTACAGCACCTTGACCTTGGACTCCTAGCCTCCAGAGCCACGAGCAGGTACACGTCTGTTCTTCACGCCACCCAGGCTGTGCTATTTTGTCACAGCAGCCCTAGCAGACTGATACACTTGCCTTGGGGGTCCTGAATCCAGCACGTGGGCTTGGTGACAAAGGCCAGAAAGCATCTCATTGAAGGCCGCTAGCTCCCACTTAAAGATGCCCCCACTCCCCTGTACTGTGCGCCCACGCGGGTACTCCAGGGCTGCTCCGAGGTACTTCTCTCCTTTGGAGCTGAGTGACTTCGGGTTAGTCACTCCCCATGAGCTTCGATTTTACTATCCGTAAAGCATAGATGACAAAAGCCACCACTTTGGGGGTATTGGGAGATGAGTGCTGGAGGAAAATGTGAATTAACTGAATGAACCCTACAAAGAACCTACGTGTTCTTCTGTAGCACGTCTGTAAGCAGCCTCGTTGATGAGTGTGCGCAAAGCACTGCCATCTTTGAAGGCAAGAGAATGATGATTTCTACTCTGAAAGACGGCCCTGAGGGTAGTGTAAGGGGGAGGCTCTGCTGTTTGCTCGGCAGCTCCCTGTTAGCTTTTCATTAAAAAGAAAAGTCAATTTTCACTTCACACAGATACAGACCACGTACGTAAAGCAGGTTGGATGCACACATCTCTTTGGCTTGTCCCTGCTTTTTGTTGGAGAGGGAAATCACATGAACCAGCTGGAGGCCGGAGCAGCTGAGACTTCTAAAAAGGTACAAAGCGTGGAGCAGGAGCAGAGTGCCTTTGGGGCCCAGTTTTCTACTTCCAATAAATGAGGCTCTCAACCATGTTATCTTCACCGCAAAAGCTGAAACACTCTTCACTGTCCCCCACAGCTGTGAAGAGGGAGATCCTGATATCACACATGGGGGTGGGTCCCAGCCTCTCAGATTGCAGCTGACACTGGAGACTTGAGACGGGGCCTGGAAAGCCAAGAGGCCCAGGTAATTTCTCCCATCCTCGTGCCCTCTCTGCAAGCTGGACTCTCTACTGGCCCTTCCCAGCATGAGGCACGACCCCAGCCGCCTAGTCATGTTGGTCCTCCTGCTCTCCAAGTAGCGGAGCTGACTCCTGGAAGCGTGCTGCCTCCTGGCTGACAGGAGCACCTTCTTGTTAGTATGATGATCTCCATCCAATTCTCATCAGCTGGGGCTTCACTAAGGCGTTCCCATGGGTATGAAATACACACTGAGGGAAGGCATGTCTCTGTGGCCGCGGGGGTGAAAAGAGAACACAATGCTCAGATGTAGAGCTCTAGAAGTGTCACCTCCACTGTTACTTTAAAACTCCAGACAAACTGCAAGTTTACTACTTTTTTTGGCCCCATCAGAAAGCTGAGGTCACAGGACAATCATCAAGCCTGAAATCTAAGGATGGACGCGGGCCTGTGGGGAAGCATGGAACGTGAGCCTGTGCTTACCCGGGAGCAGGTGCAGCCAATAGAAGAATTCACCTGGGGTCAGTAAAGAGTCAGCGGAGAGTGAGCGTGGGCTGGGGGAAGGGCGGCGCCCCAGGGACTGCCTGTGTAGAGGGAGCTTGCATCTTCTAGAAGGCGTTTCTCCACGGAGCCCACCAGGCACTCACAGAAAAGACTGGCTAAAGTCCCGGGACTAAAGGCTCCCTCTGTAGCGCAGGTCTGGGGAAGGGAAAAACAGCCCCTTCAGGGGGGCCTGAAACCCCACCGGACCCCTCCCCCGTCTCCTTTCTGGAACAAAAGCCTTAATCTGCAGGAGAAAGGGCAAAACCCTGTTTTCTTGAGAGCACTGGCAAAACTGGAGAAGGAAACTGGAGAACCAAAACCAAACCCCTCCCCCCAAATGAAGCAGGGAGAATTCAGGAGAAAAACCAAAAACCAAGGCTTTATTGCTGGTGATGTTCTCCACGGGAGTGTGGAGGTTCTCCAGGCAGAAGGACTGTGGTGCAAGACAGAAGAGCACTGGAAGTTGAATAAACGAAGGTAAAAGAAAATACACTTAAAATGTTGAAGTTGCTCTAAAAGATAAATGACTGGCAAGAGTGAAAAATAGTAGTAATGTGTTATGTCTGGATAAAACGTAAAAGCAAAGCATGTAATACTGTTGGAAGGGAGGAAATGGCAATATACTGTTGTAAGGTCCTTACATTACACATGTTAAAAAACCGAAGTTCAACTGCGTGAATTTTAAAGGTCCTACTGGCTTTACTCAACGACTCATGAACTGAGCAGCAACCAGTCTAGTGGATAAAAAGGAGCTGTAGGCGGAAGGGAGCAGGAACAAGGAAGTTAAACGAGACAAGAAAAGCGGGTTGGTTACTGTAAGGTCGCTTTCCTTTACGGGATGGCAGGGGTCTGGCGGGCAGCTTACCTGACCAGAGCTGGTCCTTGCGGTGGTTCCTGACTGGCTGGTTTAAGATTCCATTTCTGGGAGAGGCTGAAACTGTAATTAAGCCTCAGTTTGGTGACATGGGGCTTAGTGTGACTCCATTTTGGGCCGATTGTCCTGTTTTTGACAGTTCTCCCGTATTGATAAGACTTCTCGTCTAGCTGAGAGAGATGAACAACTTAAGGCGTTAGTGCTCCTGCCAGCTACCAGCGTGGAATTCTTGCAGTTTAGATGAAACTCTGTGTGGTATTTACAGGTCCTGCCGTCGTGTTCACATTCTTTAAGTTGGTTATTCTCTTTGTCACTGTTCTGACATTCTGTTCTCAGGGGGATCATCTGGCTGGTGGTTAGTGGCTGTGAACATGCATTTAATACTTTTGAGAGAACTCAGTGCACTGCGGAGGCGACTATGATTATTACAAGCAGGATAACTCCCAGTGTCTGGAGGGCACTTCAGAGCTGTGGTCTCCAGGACCCAAACTAATCAGAATCAAATAAGTCAAAGAAAGGAGTCATTTTCTTAAGCCAGTGGCTTGTTCAGCAATCTTACATAGCTGAGTTTTAACTTCCTAGAAGTGTCAATTCAAATACAGCAAGTGGTTTTGGCCTCCGCAGACACTTCCTTGCTCAGCTAAAAGATTATCAAGGGCTATCTTATTAGCAAGAAAAACTTCGGCCAGAGAGTCTAGGGTTTCTGGGGACTGGAGGTGGGCAGCTACTGCTTTAGCAGCAGATTCTGAAACATCTTTGAGAGTCAAGGAGAGGTTTCTGTTCGTAATGTCTTTTGCGCTTCATCCTAGCAGGGGGAGTAGAGACCTACCAAAGGAAGAACATTTTGAGTCCTGAATGCCTCCTGGTAATTCCCATTTGGGTCTGTGACTTGGGACTGGAAAGGTGACAGCCATGGAGATCAGTAAACTGGAAGAGTCTGTAGACCACACAGGAGGTTTTATTCTGGTTATCCCTGCTTTGTGTCCCTTTCTTTGTACAGAGCCTGGATGCACGGTCCTTGGGTTTGGATTTGTTGTTAACCAGAGGCAGGTTAGTGGACCCCTGGGGGTCCTGGCATGATAGAGGGCTGGGTTTGTTCCAGAGAAGCTGAGGCATTGGAAATCAGGAAGAGCTTTGTGACCGGCAGGAAAGCAGGATCGCAATACCGTTATTTGGAGGTTGGATTACTGCCTCCTTTGAAATGACCTGAGATACGTGAATGATGGCATTACCTTTCCAGGCAATTATCTTTCCAAGGCAAACGGTAGACAAAAGAATTGTAAAGACCTTCATGGAATAAGAATTAGAAAAATAATGGTCAGAGAGGG